CATCATGACACATTTTAAAGACTTCAGGTCTTACCTCTTGGGGAATGGAAATCTTGTCATTATGCCATAAGAATTCCTCATGCTTCCTCAATGAAGAAATTTCAGACCCGGCATATGAAAGGGAAGCTTGCTTGATTGCCGTCTTTAGATCAGGTTCGATCAGTAAGAAGTTGTGTAAGACAGGATAGTGCTGGGGGCAGCTGTTTCAGGAGTTTCTGGAAACATGCGAGACAGGGCATCTGCTTTCCCATTATTGGACCCTGGACAATAAGTAAGGTAGAAATGAAATCTCGAGAAAAACAAGGCCCATCGAGCCTGTCGTGGTTTTAACTGTTTTGCGGTTCTAAGATATTCTAAGTTCTTATGATCAGTAAATATCATGATGGGATGAGCAGCATCTTCCAATAAGCAACGCCACTCTTTCAAAGCTGATTTAAGGGCTAGTAATTTGCGATCCTCCACATCACAATTCTTCTTTGGTTTATTCATTTTCCGGGAAAAGAAAGCCACTGGGTGCAGGAGAACCTTGGGCCTCTGGCACTGTGAAAAGATTGCTCCTGTAGCGATTTCCAAGGTGTCAACCTCAAGGACAAAGGGTAAAGCTGGATCTGGATGCTGTATTACTTATGCAGAAGTGAATAGAGTTTTTAATTTGTGGAATGCCACTTGAGTTTCCTGAGACCACTAGAATCAAGTCTGCAGATGAGTTAACTGGGTGATTGGAGCAATGATTGTAGGAAAGCCCTTAATGAACCTCTTGTAGAAATTGGAAAAGCCCACAAACCTCTTGATATCCTTCTTGTCAGTAGGGGCAGGCCAATTAATGATGGCTGCTACCTTTTGGGGATCCATGGAAATCCCATCTATGGATATGATCAGACCCAGGATTTGAATTGATAATTTCTTGAACTCACATTTTTCTGCCTTTGCATATAGTCCATGCTGTATCAGGGTAGATATGTCTTTCTTGACATGCACTCAGTGGAGCTCCAAGGTGGCAGAAAAGAGAAGGATATCATCCAAGTAAACTATCAAAAAGTGATCCAGGAATTCCAGGAAAATGTCATTTACGTGGTGTTGAAAGGATGCAGGAGCGTAGCATAACCCGAAAGGCATAAAAAGGTATTCGAAATGCTCGAATCGGGTACGAAAAGCTGTTTTCCATTTGTCTCCTTTGCAAATTCGGACTAGATTATAGGCACCCCGAAGATCCAGTTTTGTGAGGATTCGGGAGGCGCAGAATATTTGGAAGAGTTCAGGAGCAAGAGGGAGTGGGTATTGGTGCTTAATGGTAACTTTATTGAGTCCCTGGTAGTCTACACAAGGCCTGAGTGAAGAGGCAGTAGCAGATCTGAGGAACAATCCGAGGTAAGGATCCAGGAGAGAAGTCAAAGCAGGTCAGGGTCAAGCTGGGTCAGTAACGGATAATCAGCAGGGTAATTCGCACAGGAACACAGTAACAGGAGGCTGACGATAATCCAGCAATTATTGTGAGGGGCTGCAGTTCTTATAAAGGCCACTGGGCTCCAGCAACTATCGCACCTTGTGTGTGCCAATGCGCCATCGCCCACATGGATGTGCAACAGCATGCCTTGCGCCTATGCGCATATTTGTGCGCAGATTAGAGCATCCATGTTGGGCATTGGCACATTTGCCATGACTTTCTCATTTTCTTCGCTGACAAGTGGTCATCCAAGTTTTTTCTATCATGCAAGTGAATGGTTAATCGATGATATGGTTCTCCAATTGTGAGTAAATATTACTAACTACACCCTGTGGGACAACTCCTAGGTTAGATGGTGACTAAATAAAAAAAGGAGCTTCAGACATCACTGATCACGCAATACCATTGGTCACCATTGAGGGTCTTCATATTGAAGTTCAGTTCCATCTTAGATCTACGCCATCTGAAAAGACAGACACCATCTTCCTTTATCCAGCTTAACCCTCATTTTGAGAGCTTAATAGGCAGCCATCTTAAGGCCCTATCCTTTTATCCCAAGCGGTCCACTTCATCTACTTGTAGGGTAACTAACAGTGTGCTATAATCTGGTGATTTTTGCCTGTGTAATTAATATTCCAGTTGCAATAGTTTGTGCTGGTTGATTTAATATTTTGCTCAATTAATATTCCAATTGCAATAGTTTGTGCTGGTTGATTTAATATTTTGGTCACGATACCCTAAAACCTTGGGATTAGATTTTTTTTTTTTTAACTGTAGTGGTAGAATTCTCAGACGGACAACGCCCTTTAATCCGGCTGCAGTGTAATAATGGGTACAGTCAGTCAAACACAGATAATTGTCTACCAGGTTTAGTTATAATTAGTTAGGTATATACTACAATAAATCAAACAATTCATTTCCTCTCTTAGATACCCTATATTTTAGAGCGATAAATTAAGAAATTCATTGTGAACATAATCTGTGTCACACTAATAATTCTACTGTTGCGTGTGTTGGGTGACTCAGTTGTAAAAAATATCCTAATTTATTTTTTGGGTTTCATGGTCCATGCTTTCACATATTATTGTGCTTAATGGATAAGTTCACCTTTCGTAACATGTTACATTTTACACCCATAGACTGGCCCCGGCTCCCCCCTGATCCCTGCTGTGACAGCTACAGTTGCAAGAAAAAGTATGTGAACCCCTTGGGATTACGTGGAGTTTTGCATGAATTGGGCATAAAATGTGCTCTGAACGTCATCTAAGTCACAACAATAGAAGAACACAGTCTGCTGAACATAATACTACACAAACATTAGATGTTGCCATGGTTTCATTGCACATAACATGTAAACATTCACAGTGCAGGGAGGAAAAAGTATGTGAGGCCCTAGCTTAATGACTTCTCCCAGAGCTAATTGGAGCCAGGGGTGAGCCAACCTTGACTCCAATCAGTGGAATGATATTGGATGTGTTGCTGACAGCTGTCCTGCCCTTAAAAAACACACACCTGTTTTGGGTTTACGGATTTCAAGAAGCACTGTCTGATGTGAACCATGCCTCGCAGAAAAGAGCTCTCAGAAGACCTACGATCAAGAATTGTTGACTTGCATTAAGCTGGAAAGGGTTACAAAAGTATCTCCAAAGGCCTTGATGTTCATGTGTCCATGGTAAGACAGACTGTCTACAGATGGAGAAAGTTTAGCACTGTTGCTACTCTCCCTAGGCGTGGTCGTCCTGTAAAAATGACTGCAAGAGCACAGCGCAGAATGCTGCATGAGGTAAAGAAGAATCCCAGAGTGTCAGCTAAAGACCTACAGAAATCTCTGCCACATGCTAACATTTTTGTTGACACATCTACAATAAGGAAAACATTAAACAAGAATGGAGTACATGGGAGGACACCACGGAGGAAGCCATTGCTGTCCAAAAAGAATATTGCAGCACGTTTGAAGTTTGCAAGAGCACCTGGATGTTCCACAGCACTACTGGCAAAATATACTGTGGACAGATGAAACCAAGATTGAGTTGTTTGGGAAGAACACACAACACTATGTGTGGAGAAAAAAAGGCACAGCACACCAACATCAAAACCTCATCCCCACTGAGGGAGCATCATGGTTTGGGGCTGCTTTGCTGCCTCAGGGCCTGGACGGATTGTTGTCATTGATGGGAAAATGAATTCCAGAGTTTATCAAGACATTTTGCAGGAAAACGTACGACCATCTGTCCACCAACTGAAGCTCCGCAGAGGATGGGTGATGCAACAGGACAATGACCCAAAGCATACAAGTAATTCAACAAAACAATGGCTGCAACAGCACAGAATACGCCTTCTGGAGTGGCCCAGTAAGAGTCCTGACCTCAACCCGATTGAAATGCTGTGGCATGACCTTAAGAGAGCGATTCACACCAGACATCCCAAGAATATTGCTACACTGAAACAGTTTTGTGAAGAGCAGTGGTCCAAAATTACTCCAGATCGTTTTGCAGGTCTGATCTGCAACTACAGGAAACGTTTGGTTGAGGTTATTGCTGCCAAAGGAGGGTCAACCAGTTATTAAGTCCAAAGGTTCACATACTTTTTCCTCCCTGCACTGTGAATGTTTACATGTTATGTGCAATTAAACCATGGCAACATCTAATGTTTGTGTAGTATTATGTTCAGCAGACTGTGTTCTTCTATTGTGACTTAGATGATGTTCAGAGCACATTTTATGCCCAATTCATGCAAAACTCCATGTAATCCCAAGGGGTTCACATACATTTTCTTGCAACTGTAGCAGGGTATCTTCTCCTCCCCGCTAGTTGTCACAATTCCTAAAAGACATGGCCAGTGAGGCTCCGCCCTCCCCGTCGCATCATTCATGCACAGCATTCTGTGAATGGGAAAACTGCAAGTCCTGGCAACCTTTGTGGCTGCTGAATTGTAGTTTTCAATTAACTACCACGGCACTCCAAGCACCGTGGTAGTTCATTGAGCCTTGCTGTTAGTAGTATCTGCTTGCTCGTATGGGATCTACTGATCGCTGGTGCAATACTTTACAGGCTCCACAAACAAAAAATAATAAATGCATATTTTTTTACCAGAATAAAATTGTGCGTTTATTATTTTCTGTTAAAAGGTGAACTTATCCTTTAAAGGATATCTGCATAGGACAGTGGATTTCAGGATTAATTGGTTAGCTTAATTATTTTTAATTTATTTTTATATTGGAAGAACTGTTATCAATTGTTTAATCAAGTACTGTATATCGCAGACTTCATCATTCAAACATCCTGCAAAGGAGAATAAATAACAGTGTTAGAGTATATGACAACCAGGGCAGATAAATGAAGTGTAGCAATTACCTCACATTGGCAGCCAGTGGAACATTTCTCCCTTGCATTGCTGGCCAGTGTAGGTGTGAGATCAATTAACTGCTTTCTGCTCAATGAACCCTAACAACCTCAGGAGGAACCTGGCTGAGAAAGGCTGATGTACAGAATAGTTAAATTTATTCCTGGGGGAGACATTCATTTTCTTCTGATAACATGCTTTACTTCTTCTATAGTTTGAATAATAATCATCTGACAGACAGTTCCTGTCCCCACCTGGCATCTGGAATAAGAAATAACCAGACACTGAGGATACTAAACCTGTCTGAGAACAATCTGGAGGGTCCTCATTTCAGTGATCTGATGACAGCTCTGACAACAAGCCGGATAGAGGAATTACAGTGAGTATAACAGGACTGACTGAGACAATAATATTTTGGAATACTGTGACATTCAAGCCACATAAAAATAGTTTAATCATACTGATCTCCTTTGGATAGCCAATCCCAGAAAGTTGTCTAACCCGTGGATCTTAGACTCAGTTTGTCTTCCATTTAGACTTGTAAATAATAATATACTGTAGATATTATAGGAGGTCATACATAGGTAAACTGATCTTACTCCATTGAGCCATCAGATCCTCATACAATAAAGTTACTATTTGTCCCAATTTCCCAGGGACATTCCCCATTCTGAGGAGTCTATCCCTGAGAAGCAATGTGTCCCAAATTCATCTCTGGAAACCTTACAGTGGGCAGGCACCAATTCAGCAGTCTCACTGCACACAAGCATCATTTGAAAATAATGCAGCTGGACAATGTGAATTGACACACGTGCAGACACCTCCAGCCCATCAGTGCTATTTTGGATTGGCACAAAGGTTTATTTACTAAACCTGGAGAGTGCAAAATCAATTTTACATGCTCCAGTTTTATGCGTTACTTACTGACATTTGCTCTGTTTACATCTCTTATTCCCAATCTCTACTTTCTGTATGTTACTTACTCCTGATCTCTTCTCTTTACACTTTTCTTACTTCTGACCAGGGGTGGACTGACAACTCATGGGGCCCCCAGGCAATAGCAGATCATGGGGCCCTGTGTCCTCGCCCACACCCAAAAAAGCCTATGAAAAAGCCAATGAAAAGTACCAGGGGAATCTCATGGGGCCCCCTACTGACCCTGGGCCACCGGGCACTGCCCAAGTGCTTGAATGGTCAGTCCGCCCCTGCTTCTGACCTCTTCTTTCTGTGAGTTACGTACAATTGACCACTGCAATCTGTACACTGCTTGCTCCTGACCACTTCTCGCCATGCATTGATTACTCCTGACCTCATCTTTCTGTGCATGCTGCTCTCCATGCATTATTGTAGCACTACCCCCACAGGTTTTCTCCTTACTTCGCCCCGCAGCCATGCAAAGTGTATTTCTTCAATCAAATACACACACATACTTCTGCTCATTGTCTCCAATGACCAGTCTGGGGGATGTTTGTTTTTTGGAGTTTTATTGTAGAACTGGGGATAGAGGATGTAGTAGGATATGTCAAAATTAGAATTAGTCACATTGAAGACATCTAGCTGATCTCTTAGTTGAGCACTACTAAAGTCCTAGCTGAAAGCAGACAACAAACCTCCCTTAGAATTGTAGCAGCAAGTAGTTTAGGAGTGAGCAAAGTCCCCTTTTGCAGTAGTAGTAGTTACAGGGCTAAACTCCTCAGGTACAAGCCTGTTATGACAGACTGCGACAGCCCATAGGTAACATAGCTAAGCAAAGTCATTTGTAGTAGCAACAGTTGGACAAGCTCTTCAGAACACTAGCCAGTGTTCCCTTTACTCAGACCCATGCTGACTATCAAGCACCAGAGGGGTAGCAAGAACACAGAGTCCCCAAATTCCTCAATGTCCATACTCACAAGGCCCAAAGACAGAATGGTAGCCTCCTCCCAATCTTCCAAGTGAAACCCTCCAGTAATACCAGACAGAGCTTTTGGTAGACGGCTCTGCCTAGTCAGCGTACTGTAGAACAAGGGTTACTCTCTTAAAATTTTAGGCCCTCAGATCAATCGACCTGAGGCCACATAGCAGCAAGTGCCAGGTGAGGCAAGCAGGCCTCTAGCCTGGCTGGTGCAGCCCACTCCCAGGAACGACACTGACCCCATGTGCTCACAGAACATAAATACCACTCCCAGCATGCAATGGGGTCACCATCCACTGGAATTGGCTGGGATAGTATCCATATTTGTGTTGTTCATTGGCCCAGTCCCTTTCCATGTTCTGGAAGGCTTTCATGTCTTCCTAAAGACAGGCAGAACTCAGACAAACTCAACCAACACCAGAGCATCATAAGCAAACCTATCTAATCAATCATAGCACTCTGTTAAGCAGAGAGCACAATACATTTTCCTAACAGTCTCTCTGTTAAGCAGAGAAACAGAGCCATGCTTAAAAAAAACAAAAAGTGATGTAGCGCTAGAACAAGAAAATTATATAAATACTCTGTTAATAAGTCATATTAAGCACATAGTCAATATAGTGACAAACTCATTAACATGTAAAAGGAAGAATAGTGTGTGATGGAACTAGATAAGTAAAATTAAACACATGTGAGACCCCTGCACACAGTGCACATATCAAAAAAAGTCCAGTGATCCGTATCACATTCCTTCCACTCATGCAGAATCAATGGACTGTGTGTGGACCCGCACACCCTGAAGTGCAATCCAAAACCGGCTGGAATGGCCTCTCACCTCCTATCTGCGACCCTGCAGGGCCACAGAGCATGTAAGATCACCACTGGATCAGGATAACCTTCCTCTTGGGTAAATGGCTATTTTCATGCAGTCTTCTAGTCAGTCTTTCAACGTCACAGGTAGCTTCCCTTCTCCAGTGGTGGTGGTAGGGTCCTTCAATATTTGTTTTAGGACAGAGTATCTACTTTTGCATTTTCATAAATTCAAAAGCTGCAAGCTTCTTCTTATGCAAAGTAAATGTGATAACCTGGACTCCAGTGGTGATCTTACATGCTCTGTGGCCCTGCAGAGACCAGAGACCCTGAGAGGCCATTCCAGCCGGTTTTGGATTGCACTTCAGGGTGTGCGGGTCCACACACAGTCCATTGATTCTGCATGAGTGGAAGGAATGTGATACGGATCACTGGACTTTTTTTGATATGTGCACTGTGTGCAGGGGTCTCACATGTGTTTAATTTTACTTATCTAGTTCCATCACGCACTATTCTTCCTTTTACATGTTAATGAGTGTGTCACTATATTGACTATGTGCTTAATATGACTTATTAACAGAGTATTTATATAATTTTCTTGTTCTAGCGCTACATCACTTTTTGTTTTTTACACTTCATCAGATCTATAGGTATAGGATCAGATGTTAGCAGCTTTATACGTTTATTTATTGATCATTTAAACATAAGAGCGCAAGCAGACTTTGTATATCATCAGAGCCATGCTTAACCTAACTATACAAATCCTAGCACCTGACTAGGCTACTTATTTCTGACCTCTGCTCTCTGTGCATTACTTCCTACTGACCAGTGCAATCTGTATGTCGCTTATTCCTAACCTCTGTTTTTTTCCTGCTTTATATTTGATTGGGCCCCTTGCACACAGGATATTTTGCAAACTCTCCTAAAATCCTTTCCCCCTGGCAGCAGTGTTTTGGCTAGAGATGTAACATTTTGGGAAATTTTAAAGCCATGAGAAAAAAACTTTCAGAAAAAGTGAAAACAAAATTTCAGTGCAGTATTTTACAAATTGAAAGTGGTTTTGTTACACTGGGAATGTGAAATTCAGTGTCTATAAAAGTATTTTGCTGGAAATAAAATTATTGCGTATTCATTAAATAAACTAAACTTGCTTGTTATTTTTTTTATTGCAAATGGAATAACAAGGACTGTATACAGTATGTTAAGAACATTTCAGCTATACATAAGAACAGGTAACCCACCTCCCTTTCCCTTATAATAATTTAAAAGCTGCCAATATGCATTTCCTATTATTGACTATGCTGATCCAGAAGCATATATATTGGTCTTGCAAGAGCTTGGTCAATGTTCTTCTGATTTTCAGGTGTAATATTCTCTATAAATGAAGGGATTGCATATTTTGGGAGAAAATGGGCAACATTTCCTTACTTGAAGGCGATGCTGGTGGAAAAACATTTTGTGATGATCCAGAAGCAACAGGAAGAGTGTTTGTGAAATGAGAACTCTGGAGAGAAAGGCTACTCACATTTTTATTACGTTCCTCATCCTTTAATTCCATAAAGTATTTGGTAATGTCTTTAGGGCACCTCTGGCATGCAAGGATGTGTGTTGTCATCCTTGCAGCATTTGGAAAACAATATTTATTCTCACAATATTTGCAAATTGAAGCTTTTCTCTCAGCAGAAATGGCACTGTGGAAATGTTTCCAAACTCTGGATGTTGGTCTCACCATTTTACTGAAGGAAAAGCATATTTTTCTTGTTTGAAAACTGCATTGCAAAGCAGTGTTACTTGAACTGTATTCCAGGATTTGCTTGTCTTCAGAGAGAACTTGCAATAATTTAAGATTTTAGAACATGAAGACCTTATTGAAAGATTTCTGAGACTTTAGGTATAATTTGAATGCCATGTCATAGATATATTACTTATAGCAAAATAACATATCGCACACTTGTTTTTTTTCCAGAAAAATTGGAAAAAAAATAGAAAAAAAAAGGAAAGAAACATTGTTTTTTTTCCCGATTTTTTTTCCCGATTTTTTTTTTCCAGGCCTTCCTATCTCTAGTTTTGGCAATAAAAATGCCTGATACTTATAAAGTGTCTAACGTGCTTGAGCACTTTTACAGATGTCAAGTGCTTGGACATTCATTTAATTGACCAGAATAATAATTTATTCTTCCCATTAAAATGAATGCTCAAGTGCCAAACATGCCTAGCATTAATGCGCTTTTACAGGCATCAAAGGTTTTTTCTGCCAAAACTTTGCTGCTCCTAGACACACTGAAGTGTTTTTTTTTTTTTCTTGCCTCTAAAACGCCTCTACCATGAAACTCCTCTTAAAACCTATATGTGAATGGACACATAGGATAAAAATGCCACATGTCCTTAGGGGCAGCTGAAGAAAGTCCAGTGTACATGAGGCCTTATGCAGGCCATAGACGGTTCGTCTATTGGCGGATTTTTCGTCCGAAAGAATAATCTGCCGATTTTCGCACTGTTAGTGGGGCAACGGCATCGGCTGATTTTCACGGCTCCTCCTCATTTCATTTATCGGTCATGCTGGAAATTTCGTGAAAAACGACCGATTGGTGGCAACCATTGGTGGCAACATCGGTTTACAGAACGATTGATGTTTTGTTTTTCGGACGAAAAAATTGGCCAATAAATGAACCGTCTATGGCCTGCATTACTCTTTGCTGCTCTCTGTGCATTATTTGCAACTGCCTCAATCTGTGCAATGCTCATTCATTCCTGTAGTAAAAATTAATTTTCTACTGGTAACATTCTTCTCTTCTACAGTTTAGTTAGAAATAATCTGACAGACAGTTCCTGCTATCAACTGGCATCTGGAATAAGAAATAACCAGACACTAAGGACACTGCACCTGTCTGGGAACAATCTGGAGGGTCCTCATTTCAGTGATCTGATGGCAGTTCTGACAACAAGCCAGATAGAAGAATTACAGTGAGTATAACAGGACTGACGAAGACATATAATGTGAACACAAATTTGTTCCACGATATTATTAAAATTATATAAAAATGTTCAATAATGTATTCTAAACAGATAACCTTTTGGCTCTACAAAAAGTCCAGTGTTAGAGCTTGGTAAAAACCAAGAATTAAACAACAAACTAGTGTCAGCCATTAAATAGTCTTTTTCCTAAAACCGTGTTATAGTCCAATATTCTATTTAGTCTGATAACTAGTGTGCTGTGTGATCTATTTGCTATCGCCACAATCCTGTATATAAAGACAGTGGATAGATCCTAGAGAGCACACCATGAGACAGATGATCAAAACAATGTAGGAACCACACTGAAAGTATACGTTTGCATTTGTGTTGCCCCCAAAAAGTATGATCTGTGGTGGATCAGTTTTCAGAGGTCATTTGACAACCATATGTTGCCACCTCACTGCCGGTTTTACCCCACAAAAAGCCACACCACCACATCCAACCCCATGTATTGCAGGTGTGTGAGCAGGGGGTAAATTAAATGTACAATAGTGTTTTTGAAAAGCAAAATGATTGTCTGTTCAGAAAAGGCCATTGTCATTCTGTTGTCTAATTCTTTGATCTTATCAACCATGAAATACTGTACATCTCAGGCAAAAGTTTTTCGTCTAGAAAAGAAAGTTCCTTCTCTAAAAGCTCATGCCTAAGAACAAGTCGGGGAGGAGTATTCCAATCCTTGATTGTTCAAAGAACATGGTCAAGGGAGGGGGTCAGACTCCACATCAACATTTTGTAGCTCAAAGCTTACCGTGTCCCTCCAGCACTGGACCTCCTTAAAAAAGGACATACAAATTAGGTGCAGTCAGACAATGCCACTGCAGTGGCATACATCAACCATCAAGTGGTCATGAGGAGCCTGGCTCCCTTGAAGAAAGGAGACCAGATTATCTCATGGACAGAAACTCAATATGCAGCAATTACTGCAAACTACATTCCAGGAGTGGACAGTTGGCAGGCATCTAAACCAAGGGGAATGATCACTTAATCCAGATGTATTCAATTTGATATGCCAAAAATGGGGGATTTAGGATCTGGACATCATAGTCTCCAGATACAACAGGTTACTTCTGTTTGTATCCAGAAGCATGGATCCTCTAGCCCTTGCCTAGTTTTCAGAGGTCATTTGACAACCATATGTTGCCACCTCACTGCCGGTTTTACCCCACAAAAAGCCACACCACCACATCCAACCCCATGTATTGCAGGTGTGTGAGCAGGGGGTAAATTAAATGTACAATAGTGTTTTTGAAAAGCAAAATGATTGTCTGTTCAGAAAAGGCCATTGTCATTCTGTTGTCTAATTCTTTGATCTTATCAACCATGAAATACTGTACATCTCAGGCAAAAGTTTTTCGTCTAGAAAAGAAAGTTCCTTCTCTAAATGCTCATGCCTAAGAACAAGTCGGGGAGGAGTATTCCAATCCTTGATTGTTCAAAGAACATGGTCAAGGGAGGGGGTCAGACTCCACATCAACATTTTGTAGCTCAAAGCTTACCGTGTCCCTCCAGCACTGGACCTCCTTAAAAAAGGACATACAAATTAGGTGCAGTCAGACAATGCCACTGCAGTGGCATACATCAACCATCAAGTGGTCATGAGGAGCCTGGCTCCCTTGAAGAAAGGAGACCAGATTATCTCATGGACAGAAACTCAGTATGCAGCAATTACTGCAAACTACATTCCAGGAGTGGACAGTTGGCAGGCATCTAAACCAAGGGGAATGATCACTTAATCCAGATGTATTCAATTTGATATGCCAAAAATGGGGGATTTAGGATCTGGACATCATAGTCTCCAGATACAACAGTGGCTTTCATGGAGGCACCCCAAGGGTTGTGTTCTCAAAAGATTGCCAGCTTCCAATCACCTGAAGGTATGAACCTATGGTGTATGAATAATTTGCCTGTGTCCTTTACTGTACCAACAAGATTTGGAATTTACAGGTAAAACCGAATTCCTAATTTTTCTTTTTTTCTCTTATTCTTTTATTATTGGATAAATAAGCTATAAATGGAAAGTTCATCAAGGGACTGATTTATACTCTTAATTAGCACTGACTAAAATGTTCTGGGATTTATGGAGATATTACCCTCTGTACACATGGATGACAATATTTGGGTGTCTGCTCTATTATAACATTTATATATGATCTAATATAAATTATTCCAATCAAGTGAAAGGAGTTCCATTCATGTAGAGAATAGTTTACCTTCATTCCTGGGGAAGAAATATTTTTTCAGGTAACATTCTTCTCTTCTTCTACAGATTGGATAAGAATTGCCTGACAGACAGTTCCTGCCCCCACCTGACATCTGGAATAAGGAATAACCAGACACTGAAGAGACTGAACCTGTCCTGGAACAAGCTGGAGGGTCCTCATTTCAGTGATCTGATGGAAGCTCTGATGATAAGCCAGATAGAGGAATTACAGTGAGTATAACAGGACTATTCTAGGACAGTTTACTTCTAAACCATAATAATATAATTAAAATTCATTTTTATATTTCAATATTTTTATTGAGAAACCAGCATATTATAACAGAGAACAAGATGGCAAACACAAAGAAAAAGAGGGGGGCCCACCCGCATGGTGGGACAAGATGTAGAATCAGAATCATAACACTTATCAGTATATAAAAAAAAAAAAGAAATTATCAGACAATAGCATTACAATTCACACAAAAAGTGTCATAGCCATCAGGACATACTAGTTTCATAAATCAATAAACAATAATTGAACCAAAATGAACCAGAAGTGACCGAGAGAAAAAAGAAACAAAAATTTTTTCAACGAATAGAGTAGAAAAAAAGAGGAAGAGAGAGACGAGAAACAAGAGGGGGGGGGGGGGGTCAGCTGCCAGACACTCACGATACAGTGATCTAATCAATCCAAGGCTCCCAAGTCCTCTCAAATATGGACACATAGTCAGTGACAATACTTGTCAGTTTATCATTAACCATTATCCAGTTTAGTTTTTGTTTCACTCTTTCCAGCGGGATCAAGGATTGTTTCCAACTTCTAGCTATGGTGATGCGAGTCGCCAGTATTATATATAAAATTAATTGAATCGATTTTTTGGGAATATCAGAGGGTAGTATATTGAACAAGGCCACTTCCGGCGATCTACGGATATTAATTCCTGTCACTGAGAAAAGAAAATTAAACATGCGAATCCAGAATCTACTTACAACTGGACATTTCCACCAGACGTGGAACATGATACCCTGTTGACCACAGCGTCAGAAAGAGCCAGATGAAACGGAAGGATACATTATGGCTAGGCGAGCAGGAACCAAATACCAGCGAAGTAGCGTTTTGTAGTTAGATTCAACAAGATCAGTGTTAATTGAAATCTTCGACAGGGCATGGGCCGCAGCCCGCCAGGTATCTAAATCTAATGAGCTATTTAGATCCCGTCCCAGAGAGTTATGTAAGATAATTTAGTGAGGGGATCAACCAACAAAGCATAAACAATGGACAAGCGACCTCGCATCATCCCACTTGCCCCACAGGAGACCTCAAGAGGAGTAAGCGCACAAGGTTCTGTGAGTAGTCTAAGCTTGCTATCAATAAAAGAGCGAAGTTGATTATAACGGAATATTTCCCCGTGAGGCATTTTATAAGTCACAAAATACTGAGGAGACTGAGGGCGAACCCCATCCAAATAATCCCCAATACGTAACAACCCCTTATTAATCCACCATTGGAACCTCGCGAAAGAGAGACCCGGGGCAAACTCAGGATTGCCAAACACCGGGGCCCAACGGGGTATGCGGAGAGAAGAAAGGTTTACGAGCTCGCCATCTATCCCATACTGACAATGAATAGGATAGAGTAGGGCACAAAATAGGAGGGCGCAATCTGCTGGGAAGCCACATGAGAGTACCAATAGCATATGGACGGCACGAAAGAGCCTCAATCCCAACCCATTGGGGAACATATCCCCTGGCCGTAGTACAAAATAGCTGTGCTATTTGGGCCACCTGAAAGTATGCAAAAAGATTAGGGAGTCCCAAACCACCATGCCTCTTCAAAGAAAATAAGGTAGATTTGTTCAGCCTAGGGCACTTTCCCCTCCACACAAATCTGGAGACTGCTGCCTGTAGTAAGACCAGTTCGCGTTTGGGGATCATAATTGGTAACGTCCTGAAATAGTACAATAATCTTGGTAGGAAGGTCATTTTAATAGAATTAATTCTACCAAACCAGGAAAGTGAAAGATCCTGCCAGCCTAGTAAGTCATTTTTAAGTCGTTTTAAAAGCGGGAGATAGTTGGCCTTGTATAACGTCGATAAAGATTTCGTGAGAAGAATCCCTAAATAGGGGAGAGAGAACCAGAGGCCCACTTAATATAAAAATTTTCCCGGCAGTAGCGAACCTCTGAATCAGGTAATGAGATATTTAAAGCAACGGTTTTAGATGAGTTAAGCGTAAGACTGGAGGCCTCCGAAAACCGATGAAACAGATGGAAGAGACCAGGTAGAGACGCTCGAGGATTAGATATGTACATAAGAACATCATCGGCAAATAGGGCGCATTTATGAACCCGTTGACCACAGGTAACACCCGAGATAGTGGAATCAGCGCGAATAGCAATCGCAAGAGGTTCCATTGCCAGCGCAAAAAGCAACGGAGAAAGAGGAGATCCCTGTCTAGTTCCTCGTTCTATCGAAAAAGGGACTGATTTATGTCCACGAATGGAAACTTGAGCTGACGGAGTAGAATAGAGGACCCGCAACAGCGTCGTAAAATAAGGGCCAAACCCATACCTGTCCAATGTTCCAAACAAATAGTCCCAGGATAGACTGTCGAATGAGAATGTCTAGGTGTCAGCTTACGTGCTAACAGGGTGCCAGGCCTGTCCATCCAAGTAAAAAATTTATGATTAGACCAACGAAATTGTTTATCCGCAGTGGTAGTAAGACACAAGTTAAGTTCCAGTCGGGCCTGGTCAAGTTTAAGTAACAAATCAGAACTGGGATTTTGCTTATGTTG